TCTTCCTCTTCCTACTGCTTAAACACTATATATATATATACATATATATATATATATATATATATATATATATACGGAGTATTAAGAGTGTTTCAAGTAACAAATTTATTGAATGAATAACTCATAAGTAGACCTTTTTTGACGGATTTTATGCATTTATGACAAAAATGATTCGATCAAATACAAAACAGTAAAAATATTTCAAGAATTTTAAAATATTGTTGCATTATTTTTAACTTGTTAAAATGATTAAGAAACAAGATAAACGTCTACGTATCTCCTGTATTTTGTAAACAATCTTTATCTTCCATAAAAATCCACGGTTTACACATAAATGTATCTTTACAGTCTCAATAATCGTAAATTAAAAAGTTTGTAACCCGGCATCTTGACAGATCTCATAAACCTGGCGTTGAATGTCAACTGCTGGTCGCTTTAACACTCGAACTTTGAGACTCGGCTCCATTTTCTTTAGTTTCTGACAACCGATTGAAATTTCCACACGTTTTATTAAAGTTTACAGAAAAATTAACGTGCTTACGAGGAATACTTACAAAGGAATGCTTAAATCGATAAAATGCTAAAAAAATATTCGAGTTGATGCTGAGCACACTCGGTTACATATTTGTTAAAAAGATCCGCTGTTGGTGTGCCGATAAATAACGCAAGGACCTTGGATTTACGTTTAATATTTATTCGATCCCGTTCGAGCGATTAAACCTACGTGCAAATGTTACCGAGCAACGCATACGCGTCTATTAATGGTGTTACCGGTTATTGATAAACATTGGTTACATTCGCCATTGATAAATATTGTACAGCAGCAAACACGGTCGGTTCGCCGCGCAGAAACGGCGCCGAATCGAGTCGTGGAAAAGAGTTCGATAAACTCGGAAAAATTATGCAACTGACCTTGACGATAACCTAAGAGCAGCCCAGGGTGGAGAGGATTTTTCAGTGAAGTTCGACGGAGCTTTCTGGACACAAGGCCTGGTCTTCAGTGGCAGCAACTGCGAGAGAAGCGAACTCTCCGTAAGAGTCACCGGGCAACAACTGTCGAGGCTCCCGAGCATAGAAAACAGCTGGTCTCACATAGGGATCTAACTGCGTACGTCTGGTACTCTGGTAGTTGGTACCAGAGTAGGGATATCACGGTTAAAGCGAACGACGATCTCCAGGTAACAGCATTGTCTCAAATCTGCAGTCGTACGAAGCACTCGATGGCTCCACTTATTTTGACGAAACCGGCTTATCTGCGATCGCTATACTTCACTATTTTAGTCCCCGCGCCTTGCACAATCGAACTCAGATACCGAGTGATTGGGACTGTTCGAAGCGTGTTGCGCACGGAGCTGGGTAAAATAATATTTTAAATCGCAAATATTAAATAGATATTTTATTTTAGTATATTTAAAAGTAAAATATTTTATTTGTTCTAAAAAAAAATTGTGAGATAATAGTTCAGAATATTTTATTTATTTAATTTATTATCATCAAATAAAATATTTTTATTTTCCTAATACATAGTGTAAAATATAATTATTTTGGTAATCTGAAACGAAATACTTTTCTTCTTCTGCGTGTTTATAAAAAATATACATTCAATAATAGCTCTTCATGAATAGATTAGACAATAGATTTCATCTGCAAACATTATGACTTTTTATATTATCTCGTTTTACGTTAACCATTATCACGATTTATTTTCAGGTTAAGAACAATGGGAAGTATTCTATTTTATGTTTTATCTTATTAAAATGAAAAATATTTTATTTTATGTTTTAGATTTTTAGATTGTCAAAATAAAATATTTATTTTCATGTCTCAGCTTCAGACTGCCAAAATAAACTATTTTATTGACTGAAATTTTAAAATAGTATTTCAAATATTTTCTCTATAAATATTACCCAGCTCTGGTTGCACATCTCTGACAAAAAAGTATTCGATTGAACGAATGGAACATGTTTTTGCTTGCAAGAAAGGTAAATTAAATGGTAAAACATGTCATATATGCAGAAAATATTAATTGGATAATGAGTATAATAATTTTATTACTTTTACGTATGGTAATGGTAAAACATGTCATGTATGCAGAAAATATTAATTGGATAATGAGTATAATAATTTTATTACTTTTACGTATGGTAATGGTAAAACATGTCATGTATGCAGAAAATATTAATTGGATAATGAGTATAATAATTTTATTACTTTTACGTTTAAGCTTTTTGGTGTTTTCAGAGACACCTTTGACAGTTCTCTTCTCTTTGACAGTTTATGCAATTTTTAATTTAAATGCAACTATATATACAAAACTAGGATAATACTAATCTACAGT